GCACATTGTAGTCGAAATACGTATCTGTCATGGATACCAAAATTAATTAAGTGGAATTAAATGGAAGATAACCTTTTTTGCTGTTTTATTTAGCATTCCGCTAACAACCCAATTTCATTACTTCATTCAATTAGGTATCAATAAGGGATTGTATAAACTTCGTTGTACTCACGTTTGTAAATTTTTCCGTCCGATCGATTCTTAGGTAAATGCTACGTACACCTGGTTATGCGACCCCTATGCGACTACTGGTTTACTTATTTGTGTTCTATTGTTAAGTTATAGTAAATAGTTTTATGATTTTAATCTAGATGTAGTTCATAAGTATTTACTTCGATATAATGTAGACATAACCAAATATTAGATTATATGCAGCTTTGCAAAATTGGTCGGTATCCTATAAATCTTTTAGTTTTAAGTTCATGTTTTTCATACTAAATTTATGAAGCGCTCTTACCGTATAAAAATAGAATCAAATTATATATAGTTTAGTTTAGGCATGGAAAATCATTTGCATTCATTTCGTGCATTCATTTACATTCATTTGCCTCTAACTTTTTTCATCAACAGCATTCCGCAAAATGATGTTTAGAGCTTTTATAGGTTTTGTTATTAACTACAACTTTTGTTAACAAGTCAAATCCGTATCTCTTATGCATGACGAACCAGAGTGAACAGAAGCCACTACTGTTTTTAAGTGAATGCATTTTACATTCACTGAAAAACAGTAACAAGTTCTGCCCGCTCTAGTTCGAGATGCATAAGAGATACAGATTTGAATTATGAGCAAAAGTTGTAGCTAATAACAAAACCTTTAAAAGCTTTATACATCATTTTGCGGAATGCTGTTGATGAAAAAAGTTCGAGGCAAATGAATGTAAATGAATGTATGAAATGAATGCAAATGATTTTCCATGCCTGGTTTAGTTATTCACTTAGTAATTATATTTAGTATTAAGAATGCAGGAAAACTTTCACGTGCGGTTGGTCTTCAATTGTTTAATTGCACCCGTCAAAGAAAACGTGAAAATACTTACTAGAATCGTCGAAAAGTGCAAGACGTTTGGGGGAACTACTTCCTACCCGAACGAACTCAACGTTTCTCAAAAGACTGCCAGATTTATCGGGATTGATCGAGAAAGCACTAAGCGTTTCCGATACTGCAAAAGAGGTTATGCTGTTATTTGTGTCCATGATACCCAAACAAGCTCCGGTGCTAGAAGTCGACGGCTCTATTGGTAGAGCATATTGGTGGTCATGGCCTGGATCGTGATAAGTATTCTCCTCTTCGAGTTGTATGGCAGCATCTACGAAACTTACATTAATCGTTTGTTTTCACAATCACAATTCCACTTACCCAGCAGTAGTAGAAAACCAGAACAATTTCCTTCTTCTATATTCACCTTTTTCTCCATTTATTCTGGAATTTAAAAGAAATAATCAGCAACACTTTTCCACGTTTTCACTCGCGTTTTAACAACAGATGAAAAAACTTGGCGAATGTCGATTTGGTGCAATGCTTTTTTTATACATCACTGATGTCGTTTATGGTGTGTATCTGTACTGTCAGTCAATTTGACATAAACGTCGATTTGAAACCCAAAAGAGCGTATTGGCAGTAATTCCAAAAAAGTGTAAATAGGGATGTTAAGTCGTTTTGTAAACATTATTTGATTTTGAAATCATATGCAATAAAAAACCCCTTTGTTTACATTTTGCGACTTACGTCCATTTGAAAAGGTACTTGAGTTTTCATGCCAAACCTTTTAATTCTCAGTTTGCTTGGATTGTGAAAACTGAAGCAATGCAACTTGATGTGATCGCCTAACCAGAGCCTGCTTGGATGGGGTCCTCCAGCGTCCTCTGTGTAAAATAATAATAATAATAATACCGGTGATGCATTGCGTTGCTAAAACGAGCAACCATGTTACATGACGATGGTGATGATGGTTGTAATGGAGGATGGCCATTAATTGAATGTGGTGGTTTTGGTTCTATACAAAGCACCATTATCGCAGCACGACGAGAAGAATCAACCTACGTACCTACAGCTCGGTTTATAGGTTATTTACAGCAGGTTGTAGTCGAGCAAGGAGCATCGTGTTGGGTTTATGCATGGTCTGGATGGTGGAATTTATGACGGTTGAACGGGAGCTGCTCTGGGTGTGAAATTTCTGACACTGATGATGACGGCTCTGATGATCGGTTACATGTAAACCACGGATCACAAACAGTGTTGCACTGTTCCTAGATGAATTTTATCGCCCATCCGCCCATGGGGTGCTTGGGAAGTTGATGCATTTCCGCTCCCCAGCCCGTCATTATTATTGTACGGTTAATGGATGTGACCAAGACGAGCAGCGATTCCTTGTGGTTCATGAATGTCTAATGTAAATGTACCAACCGCGCTTTTTATGGCACGCTCGTACACCGAAAACATGCGCCCGATCCACTCAAATTGATATCAAATTCGGTTATTGCCAACGATGTCGACGACAACACATGCGTGCAGAGTGGAACTGGTGAACGCTTTATGGGGTTTCGCATTTTTCATTCGACGGAGAAATAAAAAGGTACGAAGACTCCCTTAATTTCGGAATGATGTGAATGGGAAATTTGATCAGTTGGGGACGCCGTATTAAATTTAAACTTCTACAATAAATGCGTTAACGATGCGTTAGAAAACGGCTCGGTTTGGTTTGCGTTATTGGACCATGAATTCTTGAACGAATGCTGAAATGATTTCGAACAATTTTATGACCGTTGCCACTAGGCAAGTGAAAATAAACAAAGCACTCCAGATCCGGCGGTACGTAATTATCAGGCCAACTAGATCTTTAATTTGAACATGAGTAAATTTCCATCAAACTCAAACTAAGTGATCTCAATTCCGGGAAAAGTCAACAATCACCAAAGTAATACAGCGTGAATCTTCTCGGAAGTTGGTGGGTGAATTTCTCCTACGAAGCAAGTTCAAGGACCGCCATCTCCATCAAAAGCCATTACCCTGCAAAAGACAACGCCGCTCCCGGTGGAATGATGGTTCATCGTCTATTGAAAAGGCGCTCATTCACAGCAAACATCAAATCAAATTCCCCGAAATTAGATCGTTAAATATCTCGCAAACAGTGCCGTAATCCCCCATCCACCCCTCGGGTCCTGCCCCGGAATCAATCGAAAACAACGAGAGGAAGAGGAGCTTTTTATTATACTTGGGCTACCGACAACAGCCTCTTGTACCTACATATTCTCGGAAAAGTCGTAAAACTTTGTTGCGACGACGATGGCGGTGACGGGTAGCTACCTACCCATATAGGAACAAATCGAGCCCAACACTGTATAATGTATGTGCATATGTGGCAGAAAGGATTAGTGCAAGCTTAAAATTACGACCCACTAAAATATGGGAGTTTGCGAAACTGCTGCGACACACACCTTTCCCGAAAGCGAGAAACGGCAAGGAGGATCTTGCGACGTCTCGGCAGTTAAAATGTGTTTTCGATGGCGCACGTATCGCTTCAAACAAATTAACACCTTGACTCGGGTTGAGCTGAGCGATGACAATTTGGAGTAAATTGAGATTAGAGTGTATCGAGTGAGCGAGTTCTGCTGACTGAATCGAAATCGGCAGTGACGTGTGTGGCCAGAGCTTTTCTGTGATTTGGGAGAATTTGAGATATGCTTTACGACGACACGTCGGATTTTAGCGCATGTTTTGCCTATGGTATGAATATATTTTATGGGCCAAAGCCATTCATTGGGATTCGGTTTTGAATAATATTAACTGATTTATGAAGTAAATTAGCATAAAGATGCTACTGCCGCTCCGGTACCCCTCGCGTACGCGTTGCTCAAACTTACTCGATCAAAGCAAAGCATACCTTACTCTATCCCCTGTTAGATCGGATTTAGTTTCGGAATGTAATTACCATTTTGTTTTAGGGTTAACTGTGCCATTTATGACACAAGTTGTACGGTTTTTTTTAACGGATTTCCACAAATTATGTTAGGAATTTCGAGTGACATTTTTTTTTTTAATTTCAAGAAGAGAAACATCATAATATTATATGAAACTGAAATGAGAACTTGTTGCTTGGATGTTTCAAATCAATGTATACATTTCAATTCAATAAACTAATATTACAGACCGATGAAACTGCTCCGATTCGTGAAATAAACGTAGATTACTGTTGTTATTTAAAATAACGGCACGCTGGGAATGTGAAACAGTCACTTGAAAAAGGTTTCCATAAAAAAAACATTCGCTTTCAAGAACCTAACCTCACTTAACGACGGGGAACAGCATGCTGAAAGGTTAAATTCCAAAGATAATCAACAAAAGCATTCCTTTCCAATGGCGTCTTATCGCTCAGCAAGTGAGAACCTCTACTGCATGCTACAAACACTCACACACAAAAAAACTAACCTAGAAAACAACGATTCGCCCAACCTCGGGATGATTAAACCGACACTGCCGTTAAAGTTTACGACATTTGCGTGCCCGTTTTCCATTTTATTAAAAACATCCCCTCCGCTCGTAACAGTATACTACCTGCAACAGCCAACCGTTTAATCTCCCGGGCATTACACGCAGGTTACACGGCCATCAGGTTGTAATGTGTGTCCCCGCTCTGTCCTCAGTCGTTTTCCTACAGCACTTCCGCTTCCGCTATGCACCATATAACCTAGAACAGCGAATCGGACATGCCATATCCATCCGCATACATATCCGTCCGATAAACATCAGTCGAGTCACAGAAATCCCTCTCGTAATTTCGATAATCCTGTTATGGCTATACGGGAACAGAGCAGGCGGATGTATCAGGCCCAAGTGACAGGTGAAGCGTAAATTCCATTTTCAGTTGTTGGTAAATCTCCCCCCAAAAAAAGGGGGAAGCGGAGAATCTCAATCATGTCAATTAATGTTTCATTGAAAATATGGCCGAATCAAGTGTCCGCAAACTCGATTGACCCGTTTCTCCGGTTTTCGCTATTTGCAGTACCACCGCTGTTCATCTCCATGCAGGGCCTGCGGGAAACGCTGTCGGCCGGGATCAAGACGCAAGTATCCTGCCTCACCGCAGGCAGCCGGCCATCGCCCAGTATCGTGTGGACCAAAGGCGCTTCCACTATCCGGGGCTCGTCGCAAACGGTGAGTATGATGTTTGGAGCACTTAGATCATCGGTCTGACGTGTTTGCTATGAACGTGGACGTGTGTACGTTTTCTGACGCCAAGAAGGAAGTACGAATCATTTCATTCCAGGAATAATTAATCAAAGTTCTTGCACTGACGTCCATCGTGTGAGCGAATTTCATGGAGACGCACAGTAGGCGAAAGACTGTGGAATTATGTACGTCGATCAATCGTAGTAGAATGTTGGAAGCGAGTGGTTGTCAGAGCAAGCAGAATAAACAATGGGAGTTACTTGTCGCTTAGATCGCATCTCGGTCAATCAACATACTATTTCTATGGTAAAAGTTTTTGCTGTACCTAATAAACAGCTAAATATTTCCATTAATTCCCCTAAGGGGCTGCTTTATTTACGGAAAAAAACCTAAAGATAAATAGAACGTAGTAGAAAAGTTTCCCAGCAAACGTCAGACCGATAATTAATTGGACATATATTAACCTGCCAAACGGTGTGGCCTCACACCCCCACAAACACACGGAAAATTATAATTGCCCTACTTTTTCTTCATCGCCGTCTCACCCATTATCACACATCTCTCACCTTTGTCCAATTAAATTCAGACAACCAACGATGGCAACGTGACCACGTCGGAGCTGGTGTTCGTGCCCGGACCGGAAGATAATGAAAAATCAATTACATGCTCAATTGACTACAGCGAACCCGGAAAACCGATCATCCGTCTCAAAGACTCCCATGTGCTCGACATCAGGCGTAAGTTGCTTTGCTACTACAGTTTTCCACATATGGCTGTGTGACCCGATGCCACCAATCAAGTTCACTTTTTCTCCCTTGCATTACACTCTCACACACACACAGATGTACCGGTGATTTCACTGTCGCTCGGGGCACCGCTCGACTCGCAGAACCTGATGGAGGGATCGGACGTGTACCTGGAGTGCGACATCAAAGCGAATCCGCCGGCCAAGAAGATCGAATGGTTTCACAATGTAAGTTTAATCCTGGAGGGGGTTTGGCAATCGGTTTTAAGGGAATGAATGTTACCATCACTTCGCGTTTTCAGAGGCACTAATCTCATCATCCAGAAGTCGTACAGGTCGGAACATCATAGTCGATGCTTGCTTCTTTGCAGCACACACTAAGTAGAGTTTTCAGCATTGTAGATCGTCAGTTGTGTGCCGGAGAATATGCAAAGTGGTGGGGGAAGAAAATATATGAAGCCATTTTTGAAAAATTCAAAAGCAGTTTTATTGGACGCATCATTTAAGATTGCAAAGAGCTCGCGTCATTCTATTTCTTTTGCTATTTTACACAAAATGACGCGAGCTTTTTGCAATCTTAAATGATGCGTCCAATAAAACTGCTTTTGAATTTTTCGAAAATGCATCAAAGTAAATTGAGCACTTCCGTGCCAAATGAAGAATCGATAATACTCAACCTGCTCCGGTTTGCATGAAACTTTTCAAAATTGTTTGTTATGGACAATCATTCACATTTTTATTAAAAGTACGAAATTTTGGATCTTGTACATAAAGGTATAATTCAATTTTACTTTTTATTGTATTCCATTGCCTTTTTCCATTGTCTAATATCTTAGACAAAAAGACAGATCACTTCACATACTAATCATTGTTCACAAATTAAGTAGTTAGTACTGTAACCACCAGCGGAGACCTTCCGAGTAGTTCTGAGGATAACTTCAAAGTATTTCTATGGAGAGTTTCAGAGTGAGTCTGAGAAGAATTTCAGAGTAGTTCTGAAGAGGCCTTCCGAGTAGTTCTGAGGAGACCTTCGTAGTAGTTCTGAGGATAACTTCAAAGTATTTCTGAGGTTAACTTCAAAGTATTTCTATGCAGAGTTTCAGAGTGAGTCTGAGAAAAATTTCAGAGTATTTCTGAAGAGACCTTCCGAGTAGTTCTGAGGAGACCTTCCGAGTAGTTCTGAGGATAATTTCAGAGCATTTCTATGGAGAGTTTCAGAGTGAGCCTGAGAAGAAATTCAGAATAGTTCTGAAGAGACCTTCCGAGTAGTTCTGAGGATAACTTCAGAGTATTTATATGGAGAGTTTCAGAGTGAGTCTGAGAATAATTTCAGAGTAGTTCTGAAGAGACCTTCCGAGTAGTTCTGAGGAGACCTTCCGAGTAGTTCTGAGGATAACTTCAGAGTATTTCTAAGGAAAGTTTCAGAGAAGAATTTCAGAGTAGTTCTGAAGAGGCCTTCCTAGAAGTTCTGAAGAGACCTTCCGAGTAGTTCTGAGGATAACTTCAGAGTATTTCTATGGAGAGTTTCAGAGTGAGTCTGAGAAGAATTTCAGAGTAGTTCTGAAGAGACCTTCTGAGTAGTTCTGAGGAGACCTTCCGTGTAGTTCTGAGGATAACTTCAGAGTATTTCTATGGAGAGTTTCAGAGTGAGTCTGAGAAGAATTTCAGAGTAGTTCTGAAGAGGCCTTCCGAGTAGTTCTGAGGAAACCTTCCGAGTAGTTCTGAGGATAACTTCAAAGTATTTCTATGGAGAGTTTCAGAGTGAGTCGGAGAAGAATTTCAGAGTAGTTCTGAAGAAGCCTTCCGAGTAGTTCTGAGGAGACCTTCCGAGTTGTTCTGAGGAGACCTTCAAAGTAGTTCTATGGAAAGTTTCAGAGAAGAATTGCAGAGTAGTTCTGAAGAGGCCTTCTGAGTAGTTCTGAGGAGACCTTCCGAGTAGTTCTGAGGATAACTTCAGAGTATTTCTATGGAGAGTTTCAGAATGAGTCTGAGAAACATTTCAGAGTAGTTCTGAAGAGACCTTCTGAGTAGTTCTGAGGAGACCTTCCGAGAAGTTCTGAGGATAACTTCAGAGTATTTCTATAGAGAGTTTCAGAGTGAGGCTGAGAAGAATTTCAGAGTAGTTCTGAAGAGGCATTCCGAGTAGTTCTGAGGAGACCTTCCGAGTAGTTCTGAGGGTAACTTCATAGTATTTCTATGGAGAGTTTCAGAGTGAGTCTGAGAAGAATTTCAGAGTAGTTCTGAAGAGGCCTTCAGAGTAGTTCTGAGGAGACCTACCGAGTAGTTCTGAGGAGACCTTCAGAGTAGTTCTATGGAAAGTTTCAGAGAAGAATTGCAGAGTAGTTCTGAAGAGGCCTTCTGAGTAGTTCTGAGGAGACCTTCCGAGTAGTTCTGAGGATAACTTCAGAGTATTTCTATGGAGAGTTTCAGAGTGAGTCTGAGAAGAATTTCAGAGTAGTTCTGAAGAGGCCTTCAGAGTAGTTCTGAGGAGTCCTTCCGAGTAGTTCTGAGGATAACTTCAAAGTATTTCTATGGAGAGTTTCAGAGTGAGTCGGAGAAGAATTTCAGAGTAGTTCTGAAGAGGCCTTCCGAGTAGTTCTGAGGAGACCTTCCGAGTAGTTCTGAGGAGACCTTCAGAGTAGTTCTATGGAAAGTTTCAGAGAAGAATTGCAGAGTAGTTCTGAGGAGACCTTCCGAGTAGCTCTGAGGAGACCTTCCGAGTAGTTCTGAGGATAACTTCAGAGTATGTCTATGGAAAGTTTCAGAGAAGAATTTCAGAGTAGTTCTGAAGAGGCCTTGCGAGTAGTTCTGAAGAGACCTTCCGAGTAATTCTGACGATAACTTCAGAGTATTTCTATGGAGAGTTTCAGAGTAAGTCCGAGAAGGGCTTAGGGCTTCAGAGTAGTTCTGAAGAGGCCTTTCGAATAGTTCTGAGAAGACCTTCAGAGTAGTTCTAAAGAGAATTTCAGGAAAGTTCCGAGAACTCCAGAGAAGTTCTGTTGGCCTCAAGAAAATTTCGGGAAATTTAAGAAATTCCTCGGAAGCACCCGGAACATGTCTGCCCATCGTGGTCTTGAGTAATTAATATGGGCACCAATGTTCTTATTTTTGAACTCGCATAAGGTTTGATGTATCACACGAGGCTGTCGGTTCAAGTTTCAGAGGGAACTTAATATGGCCAATGATATTATTTTTGAGTTCTAATGTAGTTTTATGCGTCTCATGAGGGTATTGAGAAAAATGTGGCCAATTCTCCGGGGGTACCCGAAACATGTCCGGATCTGACCAACGTGATCTTCAATACTTAATATGGCCACCAATGATCATATTTTTGATTTCTCATGTAATTTGATATGTCGCATGTAGGTGTTGGTTCAAGAAGAATCTAACCACTTCCCCGAGGGTACCCGAAACGTCCGGATGCATGATTTGACTACTTACTACGACTTTGGATGATTATTTGGTTGGTTAATTCGAAACTACAAAAAATACAACTGAAAACATTGAACACTTCTCAGGTTGCCGCTCAACCGTACCGCGTTTTAGTACAATGCCGCTTTTGCCGAAAAGCGCATGTGGGTTTTCAAACGGATTTCAGGGCATTGGAAAAATTGCCGCTATCATTGTGTTCAGCCCTTTAGCGTATAATAATATTCTACGCTAAGACTCAAGGGGCCACATTATAGTTAAAATCGCCCTAGAAACAAAGTTCAGTTTGTCTTAGTGTTATTATTTAAAAAAAAACTTCAAGGGACAGCCCAATGGGGTTGTACGCAATGGTGACGTAGAACTACGTGGTCTTATGCAATAAATATTATTCGTTAACTGCAGCAAGAGCTTGGGTTTTGTGTAGGAATAGGAACTTGACCGGGGTTCTCTCTGTTTATACTCTTTAGTATGACGCGTTTGACATAGATGGCCCACAGCGACTCACGAAGAGCTACTGATTCCGATCATTAGCGGTGTGGCTTCTTTTTCCTTCTATGGATGCTCAGCTGCTGGATGCAGCTTGCTGCTTGCAGGCAGCCTTTCGTTGGGTACTAAAGAACACCACCACTCACCACGCAGTGATTGAATAAACACCGTTTGGTGAGCCAGGATGGAATTCAACTTTGAAATCTGTTTTAGGGAAATCGCTTTTCTTAGGCAACCCGTGATAATTTTAATTATCATAGCACCAGTTGCAAATTTGTGCAATTTTCAATAGTGATACTTTGAAAAATGATAAAGTCTTAAATGCGTAGAAATATTTCTGATCGATTGGTGATAAAATTATTGAAATTGGTCCAGGGGCAGCTGAGTTCTTAACGTTCAAAATCATTCATAATTTTGTTACATGTTCCATTTCGGTTTTCACAAAGTGTACCTCCATATAGAAATCACAGACATCAAGATTCGAAGCAGATGTTGAGAAGATGTAGGGTTAACTACCCCATTCCCGGCCTATTAAGCACAACCCGCACTTAGCCTTTCTTAATCTAGCGCAGTTTACCAAAAGGAATATTATTAGTACAGATGGAATTCAAATTTATTTACCTGTCCATATGTACCGTTAGTTTTGATAAGGGGTCGCGAAATATTCATTTATTGTTGAAAATGCAAAACTGCTTCTGGCGGCTCAACTGGGCCTACGGGTTTTCTTGGGCCTATTAGCTATTGATACGCCATTGGGATTCTCTTTGGCCTATCGGACGGAAAGAAAGGTGAATTCGCGTGCGCCTTTTGTACGCTTCAAGTGCGCCTTTTGTTTTCGAGATCTTATTTTGCGTTCTTCCCTCCCCTTGGCTAGTATTTTGCACCGTGCTGTTGGTGGGCGGGCTTAATTTCATGCTTTATAGTGGAGTGTTGGAGATGGTACCCAACAAACATTGATAGTTGTATAAGAGCTTATTCAGACAAAAATAAGCTTCTTCAACTAAAAAATGGTTTGTTCAGCTATTAATCAGCTCAAATTGTTTGTTGGGTAGGCCGGCATTGCTGGCTCATGCCGCGATAACATGGGCAAGCGATGGGGATGACTAAGCTTTCCCTCTCTGATGAACCACTGCATAAGAGAACCTAAGATCAAGCCTGGCAGTTATAGTATAACACTTGTTACTCTTTTTTTTTTTTTTTTTAGAGCCAGTGAAATATTTCAGAAAGTTCACAACAGTGCTCCTTCTATTTGCGTGACAAGCTTTCATTGTTGTTTTAATTGAAGTATTACTCAGGGAACAACGTTAATCACCATTTTTGTACATGGTATTGTGACTAATTTTGTATATGATTCATTTTGATTTGGGATAAGTGTTTGAACTATGGCTCGGGATTTCCACTGTGGCATGCTTCTATTGTGATATACACACACGTATTTTTGTGGTGCGACAAAGTGGAAACGTGTCAGCATAGTTGGAACATATAACCTATATAATTCAAAAATCAACTAGGTACTTAATAAAGCATGGATTATTATTGAATACGTAGATTAGAGATTTGAATTATTTATTAAATTAGACTAATGAGATATCATAATCATCAAGAGAACATAAATATGAAAATTCGGACACTCTAATAACATTAAGTAGATTAACAAAAGAGCTAAGATGCGGAGGGTCCACTTAGAGAGGCAACTAGTTCTTCTTATTTAGTATATTTGTTAATTGCAGGCAATGTCAACAGTGAAAGCCATATTTGATCACGCGCTTACGAATAAGTGGGGTTTTGGAAAGGATATGTTTGATATGTTGATATATTTGAGGTGAGAGTTAGGACTGTTGTGCTTAAGTATGTTTTCGGTAAGGTAGGATATGTAAACCGAAGGAATATGAGCATTTGTATCCCATTGCAGTCGACTTGGTTGTTGCAGATTTCAGATCTTTTTAAATGGAGCATGGGATGTGGAATATGTAGTTATTCTCCACCGAGAAATCACAGCCATGCTCAGATCCGCTGGGTTCACGCTGAAGAAGTATGACGCCCAAGAAGTTCATTAATTTTGAGATAATATTCTATCTTACATGCAAGAATGGAAATGGTCATTCACTCTTGGTAACTCAGTTCATTGTTTTGGCAGCTATTTTCTGTTCGCTCATAAACTGATGAAATCTTACCAAATGAACTAACCTGAACGTGGATACAGATGAACCCCCAATTGAATGAGTCGAGAAAATGAATGACATCAATGCAGATGAATGCGCATTATTGTCATTTTTTAGCCGCGATGGGATGCACACACACTATTTCAGAACTACCCAAATTTAGGTAGAATAAAACCAGATAGGTCAAAACTGAACCTACCCAAGTTGACAAATGGGGTGCAGCGGTTTTTAATCAACACGGCCTAATGTAGAATTCACTTTGTAATCGATGTATGTTTTCCGTAGAATGTAACTTAAATACCTTATCTACCAGCATCGACTAAATATCACAGTGAACGGCTAAACCATGGTGAAACCGCCAATCAAATTAAGAAACTTTACACACTTTACGGTTGCAACAAATTTCTCCATAAAATAATACAATCAATGTCAGTCATAATTAACCACGCATCATCCGACTACCCAGCGAGCACACAACTCAGCGATACAAAATCGCAATAACATCAACAACAACAACAACAAAAATGTATTTCATCAGAACTTTTTCCCGTTGTTCATTGAACATGGAAAAACTTTCTGGATTTCCCTCGGCAATGCAAGGTTTTTTTTTCTCTGTTGTTAATAAAACAAGTTGAAATGTGTTTTTATTCCAGCATCGCAGCAGAAATATGAAACCCGATGAATAGAACCATTTCGCTGTTCTTTTATTTGGGGTAATAAACATTTCCCGGGAATTATACACATGCATGAAAGAGTTCCGTACACTTTTGACTAATGGAGAAAAATAACCCTAAGCGCTCCCCCCGTAAAGCAACCTGAACCTAAGCTGCAAAATATCGCCCTCCCACCCCCACTCACCAACGCCTTACCCGGAATCGGAAACATTATAATTCAAATTTAATTTCAGAACAAACTGCTACAATCAGCACGCGGCGTAATCATCTCCAATCAGACGCTGGTGCTGCAGAGCATCACGAAGGCGACCCACGGGGAATACATGTGCAAGGCGGCCAACACGCTCGGGACTGTCCCGAGCAATCAACTCTATTTGGATATCAAATGTAATTATTGCCCGTTCACCATCCCCACCACCAACATGTATAACACCTTCAATAAATACACTCATGCCATCCCGTCCGTCGTCCCCAAAACGGATGGCAATCGTATAATAATCAAACACAGCCATGCACACTAGGGTGGTTCAATCGCTCAATCGATTCTAAGTCAGGTCCTACGCTAGGACGATGAGAACATAAATTTAACTTTCCAACTGAGCTCAAATTTTGGACGAATGATCAGAACCTGATTCAGAATCGAATGAGCGCGGGGTGGAGCAAAATCGATATTTTGAACCACCCTAATGCACACATGTACACATAGGAGACCCATCGACTGTTTGTGATTATCTGTCATCATTATTCGAGGACCAATTCTGCTCGAGTGCTTAAGGTTCAATTTACTTTGATGAATTTTGGATACAAAATTAAAAGCAGTTTTTTTCGACGCATCATTTCAGATTGCAAAAAGCTTGCGTTATTTTGTGTAAAATTGCAAAGGAAATATCATGACGCGAGCTTTTTGCTATCTGAAATGATGCGTCGGAAAATACTGCTGTTGAATTTTTCGAAAATGCACCGAAGTAAATGTTACCTTAAAACGGGAGGATTGCTCATTGGCTCACTCTAGAGCAAGTGTGTACGATGATTTGTCACTCGGCCACGTGTACACATTCCATATTTATATTATTATGTATTACGATTGCCGAACTGAATCAACATTGTAGCCAGCACGTAATGTGTGATCAATCAATTGAAATTCATTACTATATGTAGTCTCTAAGAGTGGAACAAACCCAGCAGAAATTTAACCTTTGTTAAATTCTATGACAAATGGTCAAACGCCCTACTCAACCTTCTTTGATTTGGATGAAATTTTTCACATGTTTTCTTCAGTCAATAGGTTAATTTTCAACAGGTCAAGATCTGGGGTGGGACGTGCTGTCAAATCAGCCTACTGATCATTCTTGTATGAAATTGGTTCCAAACGTAAACAAACCCTGTAGGTTTCTTATGGCTTGTTTACGTTTGGAACCAGTTATGCGAGGTAGGCGATGATTGTTCGTATTTGACAGCCACCTCCCCCTCCCCTTGGTCAAGATACCATTTAGACTCAAGATAAATCTTTCAAACGGGTGTGTGTCATTTCGTTTGGGTGTGGAATTAGGGTTTAAAATTACTCCGAAACCTTTCATTTTAGGTATATAGAGTCTTGAGAGAATTTTCTAAACATGCAAATCCCTATCTGTTGAGGGTACCTATTAGAGTTGATTATTCCCCCTAAAAGTGAGACTCAATATTAAGTTATAGAAACATGGAGATAGAGGATTAGTGTCTTGGATAGAGCTTCAGTAAATAAGATCGCAGTGTGCTGTGCTCGCGAATGGAATTGTGTTTTTTTCGGTCGCTGATTTTTCGTTGACTTCTGTCACTTTTTTCATATATATTTACATTTTTTTATATAAATATCTAAAGCTATACAGTAGGAAATTAGTGCCTTTTGAATAGAACTTTTGATGTGTGCTGCTGCGAAAAAAGCATCTACGACCAAGAGGAGGAGGACGATGGCGACCATAATGTCTTAAGACAGGATCTATAGACACATAATTTGGTGAGATCTTTTCATATTATTTTACTGACAATGGAAATTCCCAATCGTGTTTTACATCATGCTTTATTAAATACGTGCTGGATTCAAAGCATTGATCTGAATCTGAAGGTGTGCTTGCAATTCCATTAGCCATGTGATATCGGAACTGTAGACATGTAGCGCTTATGGCTTCTGAAAGTGACTTCAAACATTTTAAAATGGGTTTCTGGATCAACAATAGACCTAGCACCTTCTAATTTCTGGACTAAAGCTGCTTTCAATTATCTCTAATATGATAATTTCAAGTAGGGTAAATTATGGCTTCGGCACCCATTGACTGTTTTCGGCAACCGAAATTGAAACGTTAATTTCACTGTATTCTCCCATCTCTTTTATTCTCTTCGCTGAATATATTATGCCGATTCCTAACCTTTTCAGCTTCAATCTGATTACATTTTTACGACTGTGCAATCCTGTTATGCCATATTTTTCTTTAAATTAAAAATACACACTACCAAATACGGCTGATTTCGAGTTGCCGATAATAGAACAGCTGGTTAACACGCAGTTCAAATGGAAAGGGTGCCGATGAAAAAGAGACTGCCGACAATAGTCACACTCACCTGAGAAGTTTGGAGCGTTGTAAAAACATGTTCAACCCGTTATGATCAATTCTTTCGATTGGAGTTGGTAGAACAGCAAGCAGCAAGTAAATGTCAACAAACAAACCTGTCATGTATGTGTGTGACGCTTAGAAATCGCTAATAGAAGTTCGGACGCTGCTTAGATTGACGAGAATACGTAAATTCCCCTATATTTCTTCCATAATACCACTTGCAAGAAATGTTGCATACAATATTATGAATGTTAAATTGTATGATACATGACGCTCCTTTTATATGCATCATAGTGATAGAAATTCACATTACTTTTTTCAACTGTGTACGCTAAGAACCATTTTCAACCAAATTGGCCAAATTCGAGAACGGTTACTCTCAAGGAAATGATTAAAATGTGTTTTGAAATAAAATTCAGCATGAGACATTTTTATTTTATTAATACACTCAATTCTGTAACGCGATTTTTTTTTTCGTCTCTATTTTTAATCGTGTAATCTCAAATTGCTACCAAGTGTAATGCAACGTCCCAAAACATAAAAAAAAAAAACCAAGAATAATATGATGTAATTAAAAAATGTTTACCCATCCTGCATAAGGGCAAAAAAAAATAAAATAGCGTTAAAACATAATTGAGTGTTATTTGATTACAATTTAATTACCGATGATCATAGCCTACTTCGATGCCACGCTTGTATTTGAGTCGAATCATTTTTTAGTTTCATTAGACTTGATACCAAAAAACATAATTTTGCACTAACTTTTGAAAGTTTCCGAAACATAGGTATGTGATTTTTGAAAAGCTGATAAATATTCCTTTAGACAGTGCCAAATTGTTTTTATACATCATCTGAAAGAGCTTTGTTTTCTGAGAACAACGATATTTTTTTCGATCCCACAGACTTTTATCTAGAGTTTTAAATCAAGATTTAATGCAAGATTAAATTTATATATGAAATTTAATAAATTCATGTTGATCTTCGTCAAGCTTCGTCTACAATTTGGACTTCTACATCAACACATGTCAAGCAGCTAAACTTGGTGAGTTCGATCCATTTGGTAAATTTTTATCTTTTCAAACCAGTTACGTTGGGAGATCACCTTTTTATGGTGCGTTACTGGTATAGATGTGTCAAATTCAAACTAGGGAATCAGGATTGTCCAATTATCAAAGGAAAACATTTTAGTCCTTGTTACTTTTTATGACTTGATAATAGTGACAAAACTCGGGTAGTGACCACCGCGCCGTTCTGCTTTTCTATATTGTATATTTCAAATCAAAAATATTGTTTATGTTCATAGATTTCACATAATCCTTTTCCCTTTGTCCTTTGAAGAGGGAAATTCTTTTTTCAGAAAGCGATTAATGGCGCTATTGCCATAAGTCATAAAAGGCTAAGACAAGAGTTAGTGCTCATGTCCCAACCGTCAGAAGAAAATGGAGCATCACTTAACTTCTCTAGCTTTGATGCTTCCAACGACCAACCAATCATATAATTACCAAAATCGGAACGTACAGTACGAGATGTCCACGTTTCATCCATTTATTGGATTCTGAAGCATCGATTTAAACAGGCCCGATGTTTTCTGAATCATCTTGCCCCTTAAATGCTGCACAGTAGGCCTGGCCGTTTTTTATATGTGTGACGCATCTTCGATGTGAAACATGTATTAAATAGACAAGAAAAATGATGTAGGTATTAATATCATTTTCCAGGATGCTTTCAAGAACTGGCTGTGTTGGTGTTAGATTAGATTAGATTTGGACAGAGTTTCAGTAAATAACAATACAATCAACTTTTCTGAAATTATCAATGCTCTATTCAATTCACACAGTAAAGCTATGGTGCATTTTTTACGGACGATCCCTAAAAATCTGTTTTCTAACTATAACTTTTCCATGTAATTTTTAGATATTTGTTATGTTCTAGTTAATGGGATTCCAGGATATTATCAAGAGAAAATGCGATTATTAGTCGAATTGAAAACACGTGTTATATTTATTCCTCTGTTTTACACGGTTAGGATTGTAATGAAAAAAGGTTAACATAAGCGCTACCAACTGATAGTAAATTGTTCTTCTTTACCTCTGCTCAATTTCTGGCTAGTGTGAAATTGAGCTTCTCCCCTAGACGATGAAACTGTCCAGCTGACAACGCCTTCGTCATTATATCAGCTACCTGTAACTCCGTCGGAACGTACTTCACACAAATACGCCCCAGCTGAACCAGGTGTCTAACGAATTTCAGTTTCACATCGACGTGCTTCAGTCGACCACGATCCCTTGGCTCTTCCACCACCATAATGGTAGATTTATTGTCCTCAAAGTACTGCACAGGACTTGTTGACTGGTAACCTACTTCTTCTAGTAACCGAACCAACCAAACTCCTTCACAAAACGCTGTACAGAGAGCCACCAGCTCCGATTCGGTTTATGACAACGATACCGTTTGTTGCTTCCTTGTCAGCGAAGTCGTTGTACACCCAAAAGTCTTGAAAACGTATCCTGATAGTGAACGTCTATCGACGACGTCGTTCGCCAAATCCACATCGCAAAACGCCGTAATAATTTCTGCCTTGTCGTTGTCTTCACATAAAATCCCACGTCTAATGACCCCTTGATATATCTTAGCACCCGCTTAAGATATTTCCAGTGTTCCTCGGTCGGACAGCTCTGGAAGTGACTGTAGTAGTTGACCACCGCAAAAAGATCGTTAAGGTCACGTAGTACATCAGACACCCCACTAGCTCTCTATAAGGGTTTTTGGTTCGCTCTGACTCCTTTCCTTTGTCCAACCGTAGACGACACTCCATTGGAACAGGGCCTACAATCTGTCAAGCCGAAACGCTCAAGAAAGTCTTCCAAATAACGACGCTGGCTTATCCGCAGAACTCACTTCTTCAGGTTTCTCTCGATCTTCATTCCGAGGAAACTAGTCACTTCCCCAGAATCTGTCATTTCGAATTCCTTTGACACGCGCGCCTTGACGGTTCGAATCTCGTTCAAATCGTGGCCAATCACAAAGATGTATTTTTGCCCTCTTCTTCTTCTTCTTCTTCTTCTTCTTCTTCTTCTTCTTCTTCTTCTTCGCATTTCAAGCTTATTGCATATCGCATATTAGCTTATTGCGTGCTCTCAACTAAGTATTCTAGATGCACTTCCACAGTTATTAATTTAGAGCTTTCGATGCCTGTACCATTTTTGCATTGGTATAATTGTGTGGCAAGTCCAATCATACTTCTATGCACAGGGAAGTCGAGAAATTTTCCAACCCGAAAAATTCCTAGACCGGACCGGGAATTGAGCCCAGCCACCTCCAGCATGGTCTTGCTTTGTAGCTGCACCTTTTCCGACTGAGCTAAGGGAGGCCCCTTTTCTGTTTGCCCTCACCACGAAGATATAAACATTGGTCGATACCACTTCTGTTGAATCCTAATCCGAAGATGTAATTGTGGAGTCGATCGTTCCAGGCTTTTGATGCCTGTTTGAGGCCATACGACGACTAATGCAGACGGCAATCTTCTAATCATGGGGTGGTAAATGGTGGCACATCAGATAACTTTTGATAGAAAGTACAACAAAAACACTGCAGAACACCACCGAAATTATCTACATCTGACAACATCGTGAAAAGTAATAGTAGATTTAACCCTCCGTTAATCGCGCCAACTTTTGTAACACGAGTACTCGCGCGTTGTACTTTGTATTGCCATTGCCATTTTGCAGCCGAGACCAATCGATATAAAACCAACGGGTATTTCTGAAAAAAACTTGTTTTTAACTAAACAAGTTAAACTTTTATCAAAATTAACTCCCAAACAATGTGGATAATAGAGAAAATGTAAATGGAAATCGCGTATACGGTGTCCGTACTACGTGGGATTTGACTTTATTGGTTACAACATGGGAAACCTCGACATCCTGACCAGATAAAAAATTGCTGTCTTGCGCAAAGTTGTTCTAGAGATCATAACCTTTTTGCTGGTGGAGAGTAGTTCAGAAGATTCTCACTACGTGGCGCTAGTATATACGTTCAATTTTCGCATATACAATAGCTGTGTACACGTGAAATTCTCATATTGAATATCTCAAGATCCTGAGCAGATAGAAAGTTACTGTTTTGGGCAAACTTGTTCAAGGAGTCAAGACTTTTTGGATGGTGGGCAGTAGCCCAGAATTTTCTCCCCATGTGGCACTAGTAAACGTGTACAATTCTCGCGTATGCTATAGCTCGAGATCCTGAACAGGTAAAATATTACTGTCTTCGAAAAAGTTGTTCATGAAGTCAATGCCTATTGCTTGGTGCGCAATAGTTCAGAATTTTCAAACTACGTAGCGTTAGTATACACGCGAAATTCTCGCATGTAAAATATCTCGAGATACTGATCAGATAGAAAGTTACTGTCGGCGACAAAGTTGTTCAAGAGCTCATAACTTTTTCGCTAGTGAAAAGTAGTTCAAAATTTTCTCAGTACGTAGCGCTAGTATACACGTGAAATTCTCGCATGTGGTTTGTTTCGAGATCCTGACCAGATAGAAAGTTACTGTCTTCTTCGACAAAGTTGTTCAGGAGATCAAAGCCTATTGCTTGGTGCACAATAGTTGAGAATTTCCTTACTTTTTATCTGGACCTAAAGATATTTTATATGCGAGAATTACACATGTATAGTAGCACCTCAAAGTGAAAAAAACTCTGAACTACTGTCCACCTGCCAAAAGGCCTTGATCTCCTGAACAACTATGCCGAAGACAGTACCTTTCTATATGATTGGGAATTCGAGATATTTTATATGAGAATTTCACGTGTATACTAGCGTCGCGTAGTGAGCAAATTTTGAACATTGAGCACCAAGCAATAGGCTTTGACCTCATGAAAAACTTTGTCGAAGACAGTAACTTTCTATCTGGTCAAGATCTCGAGATATATCACATGCGAGAATTTCACATGTATGCTAGCGCTACGTAGTGAGAAAATTCTGAACTACTGTCCGCCAGCGACAAGGCTATGATCCCTTGAACAACTTTGTTCGAGACAGTAACTTTCTATCTGGTCAGGATCTCGATATATTCCATGTTGTAATCAATTCAGTCAAATCCCACGTAGTATGGCCACAGTTTACGCGGTTTCCATTTACATTTTCCCTATTATCCGCATTTTTTAGGTGTTTACTGTAATCAAAGCTTAGCTTGTTTAGATCAAAACAAGTTTTTTGAGGAATACTCGTTGATTTCAGATCGATTGGTAGCTCGGCTGCAAAATGGCAATGGAAAACTCATGTGTGTTGTACAAAGTACAACAGCGCGAGTAACGGAGGGTTAAGGAGAGAACGTAATCAAATTTCTTTTATCAGATGTTTGCCTTGATATTGGCTACATTGACACTTCATTGAATTGCTTCCAGAAAAGAAATATGTATCATCGTTCTTTATTATTATTCTCTAAAATCATTTTCAGATCTATTTGAATATCGTATAATTCAGCAGGAGTCTAAAATTTACTCTCTTTCATCTCTAATACAATGGTCAACACCATGTTTTACTCACTTTCAGCTTATGATCTCAATGGAATGAAAAAAAATGTCAAAGTGACGCGATGTTATTCAATATAATTTATCAATGTTTTCATAAAGTTATGACATGTGGATTGTTATAAGTGTGTTAAGATGATGCACAGATACACCAGATCATTTCCGGAATCATCTTAATACACTGCTAAAAATCCACATGTCATAACTTTATGAAAACATGAAACATTGTGTAGCGAGAAATGATTTTGAATTTCAAATCATATTTCAAATCTACATTATCCCTTTCGATACCATATCAGTTTATACTAATGGTACAGTTTCTACATTAGGTACAGACAGAGCATTGGACTTATCGTTAAGGTCACTGATACGGATCGAAATTTTAGCTTCAAGTTGATAGAATTTTCATGTCTTTAAAAAAAAATTAAAACATAATTTTGGTTTACATGTCATGTCAAATTCCTATTATATAGTCAATAAAAAATAAAAATAATAATAAATTGTTGCGCCAATGCTAATCAGCATGTAAAAACTGTGCTAATAACCATGTGTTTTCGAACGACTGGCTCACCAGATTCATTTTGTTTGCAGTTACCTAATTCCCAAATTACTCTTTTAATTTTCATCACAGTATCGCATAAATCAGCAATGTTATATTCAAGCTTGCAGAGCATTTCGTGGTTTATGCCAACTGTTGCTCACACCAAAACGAGAGGAAATGTAACGCAAAGGTTTAAATTCATATATAAATATTCTGTGTGTGCAACAGATTTCATCTGCGTGTGGGACGAGATGAACTAGTCGCCAATAACGCAATAAAAAATAACCTCCGTGTGGAACTCACAAACACAAAAAAAACCATATGCTATGATAAAAACCAATTTCCACATACAGTGCAAAAATATGATAACCAATTTTTCGTTTATTATCAAACAAAGCGCCTACGATACACATCTCTCTCTTGCGACAGGATTCATCATTCTACCGTATATTCATGACAAACACCCACGAACAAATGGCAAACAAAAACACACCTACTCAAATATTCATCCTGACCCCCAATCTCATCAACCATCATCCATTTCCGTCCAATTTTCGCTCCCATGCCAACCCACGCACACATTTGTCACAGCCTGCTGCCATTACAAAGTAACACGTCCAAATTCCTTCTCAAACAAGCCATTAAATATATCATACGCAAGGCTCAAATCCCCCCTCTCTTTCTCTTTCTTTCTCGTCCCCACAGATCCACCGGTTTGCAAATCAGAAGCACAAATAATACGTGCCGCTGTTAAGCAAACAGTTAACATCACTTGCGATATCGACGCTAATCCGATGGTAATTTATTTATTCGCATTAAATGTTCGTAAATTGCTGAACCATTAATACCTAAACCTCATCCCGCCCACCCACAGCACAACCTACTCTTCCGGTGGCAGTTTAATAACTCACTGGAAAGCATGCTGGAGCTGCCGCCGTACACGAACGTCGAATTCGTCGAACCACTCCAGCAGCAGCACCAACATCAGCTCGGGCTGGACCACAGCTCGGCAGCATCATCCTCATCCTCATCCTCATCATCATCATCGTCGTCGTCGTCGTCGTTATCCCACGGGGACCATCTCCATCACCACCACCGCCTATTGCCATCGTCGCAGTCATCGCAGTCATCCCCGTCCGGCAGTAGCCACAATCTCCTAGTTGGGCCGAATCAGAAGCTAACGATGCGGAGGAAGCCCGAACCGCCGAAGCCGGACCTCATCGACGGCCAGCTGTACCTGTACCGGATCGAATCGTTCACCAACTTTGGTACGATCACCTGCACGGCTACCAACACGTACGGCCAGAGTGGCCACTGCCTCTATCATATTCTGGTGGCAGGTGGGTATTATCGTTCCATTCAATGGTGGATTATCGTGGTCCGATGCGCTCTGTTTGTGTGTGTGTGTATTCAGAGTGCTCGGGTTGTAGGTTATGTTTAATGATTCTATATTCCTGACGAAAGCGGTGTGATGCCTCGTCGTGGTGTGTGTTGCGAATGCGAGGTACGCAGTCTCTACATTTAGTAACTGAATTAGTAGCATAGAGATTTACGTGAAGTCGACGATGAATTACAACGATATTTCGATAGGCGAATGGATTAGATTAGAGACCGGATCCCGAAGCTCATGAGCAACAAAATTGTGACACAATTGTAGGACGCAATGGCCTACTTAAGCTCAATTGATATTTTCTCTGTGAAAATCATTGCTTGTATGTAGGTATATGGAAAACGATTTACAGTTTTTGTAATCACATATAGACAATAATTCATCGGAAGAATAGGTATGATAAATTTGACAATGCTTTTTAAACTCTAACGAAAGTTGGTTGCATAGTATCATATCTCAAAGGGATGAGAAGCTTATAGAGAAGATATCCTTTGCCTCTTAGAATAAAGTTTTGAATGGAGAATGCGCAATAGGGTGGGTCAGTGTTCCATGGAAATTTGTTCACGAACTAATTCCAAAAAACATTAAGCTTGTTTAAAGCTGAATAATTCTGTTTTAGCAGCATAAGGCCTTATTTGCCTGTATAAGCTGATCTTTAAACTAACATTGTTTGTTAAGATACGATAAATTAAAAAAAAATCTATCATTGAAAATTTTGATAACACCAAGGGGTATTCAACTGTGCACACCTTAAGCTGTGCCAAGCGCTGTGCCGAACGTACCTATCAAGCACACAAAGTATGCTTATCAAGGTATTTGGCAACCCTGAAAGTTATGACTTTGGAATTTTGCTTACATTCTCAATTTCTCTGATGGATCATGACAAACATTCACCTTCACTCTCATTAGAGCGTTAGCGGGTCGGGAGATGGAAGAGGAACTGGAAACCATCAAACCAATACGGTGTTCAAGCATAATTCAATCCTACGCTAGGAGCAACATGGACATAGACATAGAACATCTGATCGACTCAGAAGTGCGTGTCCTCAAAAACATAACCCAAGCCTATCGTATCGCTGATTATGATGCCTCCCCCTGAAGAACTCTCATGCTTTGAAAATAGGATTCTCAGCCACCGTAGACTTCAGCCGAATCACTTTATCCGGCGTCTATATAGAACTCGAGAAGATTCCATCCAATCCACTCAGCTCCACACGGATGACAAACGTGGGCGATTCGTGATTCAAGAGCATATTGCATTACAGATACACCGTCTTTCAATATGCTATGGACATCGCTATTTAGTCCTGTGGTTGTCCTATCGAAGTCCACACCAATTAAGGCTAATGACTGACAATAATATCCGACATAGATGAACTCGACTGAAGTGAGGACCTGATAGAAGCTGTCCTAGATGAAATCACGATTCTCTGTGATTTTTGCTGTGATTCGGAAGAGATGGACTTAGTTTTGCTAGGTTTGAAGAGTCAAATCATATTTTTGTAGTAGTGGAAGATGTTTGTATGGCCAGTTCGGAGACGGGATATCACGAACTGCTCCCGGTGCAGTGATGGATCGACCTATCTAGTAATATTCTCTTTTAATTTTCGAATAGCTGGTGTTCTAGCTGCTATCCAGTCGTCAATAATTTTGGTTACCCATTTTTCAGATCAGATCCTGGGACCTCTCGCGTATATTTGGCCATGTGCTGACCAGAGGCTGCTAGCTGGTCCGCCTCTACATTTCCCTGTAGAGTGCCCTGGGATCCAAACGAATATTGTATTATTTGGTGCATGTTCCTTGATCACCTGGATCCAGGGGTGTCTACTCGTTTAGGCCTCAAGAGCAGCAACCACGCTGGCGGAGTCGGTGAAGATGGCTATCGGTCGTTCATCGGAGGTGGTGGCAGCGATGAAGGCATGTTGTCAGCGATCGAGTAACCTTCCATCTTCCAGAAAATCCATGAGCCTTCGGTTCACCATCCTCTCCATCAGTTTAGATGCGCAACAGGTCAGCGAGATTGGTAGAAATTTATCGACTCCGTGTCGTGAGGGGTTCGGTTTTGGGATCGGAACTGTGGGGCTCTGCCTCCATTTTCCGGGAAAGAGTCCTGCAGCCATTCTTGATTGAGCAGTTCCAGGAATTTTACCTGCTCGGCCATGGGAAGGTTTCGAATAAGAGGGTATCCAACTTCGTCTGGTCCAGCGGACCCTCCTTTGGCCTTCGATAATGCAAGAGAGAACTCGCGTATACTAAATGACTGGTTGATTGCTGAGTCGTCTTATTCAGGGATTTACATGTTAACAATTGAGTCAATGGACGGGTCGTTGATCTGGTGGAAATTCTCATCATAACCTTCAATTGATGATAGGGAGGCGAAGTGATTGCCAAGACGTCGACGATGTTATCTGGATCTCGTGTGGTTGTCCCTTCGTGTTCGATGATTATTCCCCGTAAGGCTGGAGATAACTCTGCAGCGCTGAGGAGAACAGTAGCCGAACTGCTAGGTTCGGACTACCCAACCCATGCCCACATATACACGGACGGATCGCTTTCCCGAGCCGGGGTCGGAATTGGAGTAGCCGGAATTTAAGCACCGATGAGTAGCAGCCTACCGCTACAATTCTCGGTTTTCTCCGCCGAAGCTGCGGCCATCTTTGTTGCCGTTACAACACCCTCGGACCGGCCCATACTGGTGCTATCCGATTCGTACAGCGTGATACAAGCCCTTACATCTGAGACCCCGACTCACCCCTGGATACAGGGTATCGTGGAGGCCACATCTTATAACACGGTGTTTTCCGGGATCCCTGGGCACTGCGGATCTCTGGATTTTTTCAATACTTCTGGTCAGGCATGGAAAATCATTTACATTCATTTCGTACATTCATTTACATTCATTTGTCTCTAACTTTTTTCATCAACAAAATTCCGTAAAGTAATGCATGAAGCTTTTGTAGGTTTTATAATTAGCTACAACTTTTGTCAACAATTCAAATCTGTATCTCTTATGCATTATGAAAAAGAGCAAACTGAACCCACCATTGTTTTTGAGTGAATGTAAATTACATTCACCGAAAAGCAATAATATGTTCTGCTCTCTCTAGTTCATCATGCATAAGAGATACAGATTTGAGTTCCTGAGAAAATTTGTAGTTGATTATACAACCTACAAAAGCTTGATACATAATTTTACGGAATTCTGTTGATGAAAAAAGTTAGAGGCAAATGAATGTCAATGAATGTACGAAATAAATGCAAATGATTTTCCATGCCTGCTTCTGGTTGATAAATTATTCTCAAGATTTCCTACTGTCCAGTAATTCAAATCACGTCTTCTCGATATTCTCATATACCAGGCTGCTCAGAAATTATTGCAAATGCCATCAGGTGATAAGACATCTTCAAGATATTTTTTCAATCCTTCAGGTAAAATAGGTACCATTCTGAAGGTATCCAACAATTCAAATTGCGTCTCTCAGATATTCTGACACCACGTTAATCAAAAATTATTCTAAAGACCTTCAGGTGATCAGATACCTCCTAAAACTTCTTTGGATATTTGTTCAATACTTCAGGATGATTAAGTTTTATTCCAAATCAACTGTTCAACAATTCAAATCACGTCTCTCAGATAGATATTCAAGCATAGCACCAGGATGATCAGAAAGTATATAAAAAGCATCAAGTGATCAGTGATCTTAATGAAATCCTTAAGGTATTTTTTCAAGACATGAGGTTGATCGGCGTCTCAGAAAACATTCCTAAGATCATCAGGTGATCAGAGATCTCCTAAGCCTTGGATATTTTTCAATACTTCAGGTTGATCCAAGCATTATTCTGAAGATCTTCTACTGTCCTAAAATTGAAATCATGTCTTTCAGATAACCTATTTGAGATAAAATCTTTAGGTGCTCAAGTTGGTTTGTGTGGGCTGCTTATGCTTTGCGAGGAAAGGGCTTACAAAGTTTTGTTTACAATAGCTGATAGGCCCATTGCAGTTGTAGGTCGAGAAACGTGCATTTTATCCTGGGTTAAGTGGTTGACTTTCTGGTAGTAGACCAGACTGGAATAGATGTACGCTTCGAGAGGTTCTTTGGTGATTCCCGAGTAGAACAGGGAGTAGAAGATAGCCTTTCCAAGCAAGTTGCAACCATTCTTAAACAACTCATCCTGTAGATCTTGGCAATTGGATCCAAAGAAGGTGGTTCCGTATTGGAACTTACCATCCAAATCTGCAGCTTTATTATATGGAAGTTCAAGTGCTTTACCAACTAGGATACGCGAAGAAACTGTTAGAGTTCATGATTATATCCGGTGACATCCGCAATCGTTGAATCGAAGATCTTTCTGATCAACAATTAATCTAATACCACCTTTCAGATTGTATAGAGCAACCAAGCTGTGGATGAAAAAATTGTGGGAGAAGCTTGTAGGTTGTCGGCATAGATCATTCAAATCCAAAGTTCTTCGCCAAACCGAAAACTTCAAGTTTAAGAGTTTAACGGAAATGATTGCGTTTTTCTCGTCGGTGAACAGGAGTACCGGATTTTTTCGCTTAAGGAAGTTTAAGATTTTCTTGCATCGTTCGACTCGTAGCTCCCGGATGCGGTTGGTAATCATGTGAGTTTTTTTCCGTGCCCTCGACTTCGCCCCGCAATCTTCCTTTACGATCTTCCGTGCCGTAAAGTCACTGATCCCATGTTCCTTTGCCATTTTCCTTATTGAACGCACTGGATTCACCAGAATCTTCCTTTTGATATCAGCGATAACCCTCGGAATCCGAGCTGACATCGGACGACCTGTGACCACCTTCGCGGATAGTTGTCCTTTCTTTTCTCGGCCTAAAACCCTTTTGACGGTCTACCGGGACACTCCCACGGCGATTGAAATGTCTTTTTGCGACATTTGCGCGTGGAACAAATCACGAATACGCTGCCACTTCGTCATGGTGCAACTGTCAAACTAAGTAAATCATTTTCTTTTATACACAGCCTACTACGGTATGAGCTATAGGTTACGTGCATGCAAAGAAAACCAAGGCATTGTATGCACAGGTGAAACGGGAACCTTATTTGTACGATGGTGCAAACATTATCACGCATACGGTACTTTCCACTAGCCTATTGCTCATTTTCAATAGTTTATTGCTCCTTTTGGCTATGGGAGTTTTCCATTCTGAGCGTTTATTAGGCTGCCACGAGTAGTAAAAACAATTAACGTTCAACCAATGAAATACTCATTCGCAACACTACCATCTGGCATCACACCTCTGTCACAATACATCATCTTCAAATACTGAACGTACTAGTTCCACAGCAAGCAACCAAATAGGGTCCTTTCTAATTAATTATTTTTTACTACTTCTTCCTTCTTCCTCTCAAACACACATCCCCATCGTCAGACGTACCTGATCCAATTAAAAGTTGCACAATATCAAATGTGACCGCTTACACGGTACATGTGTCATGCATCGCCGGCAAGGACGGAGGCATTCCGCAGCAGTTCCATGTTGACGTAAGTGATCATCTCCCGCCTATAGCTCTTCTCTTTCCTCCCCGAATGTCGCAGTTGGCGTGTGGGTCTGAAAAACCCAAACCAACCCAACCCAAGCATGCTAGGATGAACTTTTCTCTGCATCTCTCTTTTTCCCTAAATTAAAATATCAGGCAGCTTGGAAATGTCACGTTTAGCAATTGGTTCGGTCACATATTACGTAATGCATTTAGAAGTGGGATCAATATTATTCGATTTATTTAGCAGTGCTGAGATTTATCATTGTTTTCAAATTGTTTTTCACATAGTCACTGACAGACTTGATCCTCAAAAAAACCTTGGTCAAAATCTCATTAATTTGTTCGTTAATGACAAAGAATCACCTGGTAACAAAATGTGTAATTTTGTACATTCTGTGTCTGCACATGTTTGTCACTGACAGCATTGCCGCTGACAATTGACATGGTTTGCCTTGACGATAACTGTTAGTTTAAATGAGTGACCAAACCAGAATTTTGAATATCGCCATGTATTGTCGAGATTTTGCAGCACTGTTATTTAATTTTAGTTATTTCAATTTAAATATTTAAATAATTTCACGAACACATTAACCTGGTTTTCTATAAAAATATTACAAATTCCTTTTATGTAAATTTTCAGTAGTATTCAAATCGGATTACTAGATCAGTCTAGAGATCAGTGTATTTTACATTACCACCAAATAAATCAAGCCTATACGCTAAAAAATATGAAAAATTATCGTCTTGCAGATCTAGAAAGATCTATGTTTGAGGCGATACAATGTATTATTTTGACTTTCCGAAAATTACCACGCGTTATGTGTTACGTGGAATTGGATTGTACATTTGCGACGGTAAAAAATTGCGTTACGTTATATTTGAACAAACCCTATCCGCTCCGTTCATCATCATGGGTAGGCTAGTTTTTTCTCCTCTTGTTGCAAATCTGGACCGAGGGCTTCTGGCAATTAAAAATCAGCTTCAGTTTTGTCATCGCTAGCACAGCCCCAAGTCTGAACAACACTCTGGCTACCGTTGAAAAGAAAACCGCGCAACGGGAGAGAAAAGTTGATCCTTTCATTGAAATAAACGTTTCCTTCAAGCGTTCTGCTCCATCAGAAGGTATTTAACAACATTCTAACTTTGATTTTTTGGTTCAAACAACACTACTACAGATTTTCGACGAACAAACGAAGAAGCTCCTGTTCAGCATCACTTTCCACGGCTCAGAGATGCTGCTAAAGAAGCTTCCGAGCGATACCAGGTTCATCATCAAGGTAAGTGAAAATTGTGCCCAAAGTCTGTGCCAGAGCCACTCACTTATCAGCCCAACTGGATAATAACAGATAATACGATTTTCATCTTGTTTCCGTCGACTTTTCACGAAACCCACTGTCACCAAACAACCATCTCGTTATCTCGCCCAACAGATCACACCATTCAATCTTCAGGGAACGGCGCCCACCAGCTACCGCGTCAAGGCTCAGACACTGCCTGCTCCATTGCTCCGGACAGGTAAGTTGACTATCACAACAGAATTCCTGCTCCTTCTCCACTCACCAGACGAGAAGAACGATGACGGCACCGGCCTGCTTTGTTTGTTCGCTGTCACGCAGTTACCTAGTTGTCAACGTTTTTCCTTCCCCAGAACGGTTCCGGAACATCACAGTACGCCATGCGAAGCTCATTCTATGCGGAGAAACTAAGCTGATTATGATTAGGTTTTTTTTTTTTGCTGTCCACATTCAAAACATAGGCTCTTGTTCCGGTATCGCAGCCAGAGAACAAGGAAGAAGCTAAGCATGGCTACACACGATGGTTCCAATTTCCAGCAAAGAGCAAGAGTCAAACTTATCTTCTTATTTTCACTCAATTCTATCTTCCATCCGGCGTACTCCTTCGAACAACGCAGCACCCTCGAAGGCGGTACTGGTTCAGCTTACGCCACTGCTGGGAGCACTGGTGGGGGCCGCCGTGACGCTCTTCCTCGTCGCCATTTGCGTCATCATTTTCGTCAAGTTTAAAACGAAGGTAAGTTTGAATCGGTTTTGCGGTGGGGCGCTTCCCTGTTTGTTTCCGATGAATGATGATGAAATGGAAAAATCTATCTTCAAACGATTGATTGCTGATAAGCAGTAATTCAATTACATTTCAATGCTATACTTAGACTACTGTGCTGGCGTGTGATTTCCAATTACGAATGAAGGAATCGAAATTCACAATCAACCAAAATGATCACACAAGTTTAATCATTCATCGACGACAATCCACCGCTGAAAGCTAAATTGCCAACCTTAATTCCAACCTAAAGCGAATCCTCTTCAAATCCAATCTATAGTACTACTGTCGGTATGTTGGTTTCAAAGATCGTTCATTAGAGATTGCCAACCAGCCAATTGCATTGCATCGCATTTGCATTACTACTGCGCTGTCTGACATGTCGGGATGTCCGAAAATAGTCGATTAATGCGATTTTATCGATTACGAATGAAGAAATCCTGTTTACAAATGTTTGTTAAGGTTTTGTAAATTTTGTTTGTTTTAACATAGCTTTTACAATCAGGGCTATCAACCACGGCTTTTGTTTCGAATGTTCATGAAACCTAGCATTCGTTCGATTTCCTGGTTCAAAATGGCTTCGAAAGAGATGTCCTCGAGCATGAATCAAAAATATTTAGATTTAGAGAAGGTGCAAACGTTTTGAAGGTGGATTTTTGACCTTTATGAAATGACTTTTTCAACCAATTAAGAGTCTTTTTGCACGATTGTGTACATAACCTAATTTCTATACTAAAAGCAAAGTATGCCTCTGATATTTGTTATAAGTCAGATAACACAGTACCCCGACTATTTAAAAATCGATTATTATCTGAAAAACGGTATCCCTATGTAAACCTTGGCCGATTGGTTGTCGGTGAACCATTCGCACAAAGAGCAGCTCTGTTGCCATAGTTCCCCACGCCATTCCTACTAGACGAAGGTTGTTCAATTTCCAGATTTGCAGTGATTGAAGTTTTCTCTTTTGTGTATGCACTGCACGCGGCAGAATGTACTTAATTCCGGACCCAGGAACGAAGCTTTCAATTTAATTTGTTTTCCTCTTAATTAGACTCTCTCTCTCTCTCGTTCAATCTCATTCGTTGGCTCCTCCAGCCAGTCAAATGAAAAAAAAAACGTACCAGAAGGTTATTCGATATCTCAACGTCTCTTTCCATATTATTTCAGATAATCATTGTAATAAAAGCAAACGAACTACATTCACTCGCTTTTGAAATGCAAGCTTCTCTTCCTTCCCACGCTCATTGCTCATCACCACCATTTATCTTTACTCTTTGATGCAGAAGAAACATCACCCGGCTGCTACGACCGAGCAGGACAAAGGCAGTGCCGAGCCACTGAGTCGAAACATCGGAAGTCACTCGAGCATCGACGACAAGAATCCGGACGTGATACCACACGAGAACAGCGAGGACGACGATGAGAAGCAGTTCGAGCGGCTAGCATTGGATGCGGAGCGGTTGAAATTTACGCAACCTCCGCTACCACTGGTGGTAAACTATTCACCGACTCACCTGTCACCCACCGGAAACGGTCTGAAAAAGGTAATCACCATCTGTCGTTTAATTTGATTCTTGTAATCTAAATTTTACTTATTCTGGCCCTCAGTTCGGTGAACTTTCCCTCACAACCAATCCGAGCTATGCGATCTACAACTCCCCGGTTCGGAGTGCGTACGGTAGCACTAATCCATCGGGAACGACGACGACCGTGCTGCCAGCGCGGACAACGTCCCCGAACATCTACACAAGACTGCCTTTGCGGGACTTTACGCCCAACACGTACGATAGCATGCTCAGTACGTCCCAGGCGACGCCCAGCGGCTTCGCGACGTCCCAAATCTACACCGCCAAAATGCCCCTGCTGACGACGAACTACGCCGAGCTGGCATCGCTGGACAAATGATAGCAGTAAGGTAGGCGGCGGTCACAACACTAACGGCTTCCATGACAACCGTTGTTCTACACTTGGAAGAACCCAAACAAGTCCACAAAACAGTCAATTTTCATAAACAATGAAAGCTTCCAACTCCGCACTGGAAGCTGCTTGCCATCGTCGTCACACCGTGGTTCATCCCGATCAACTAGTTAGGAATTACCCTAGGTAAGCTATTACAAAACTGACCGATAGTCTAATGAAAACAAATCAATCGTGTGTACATATGAACAAAATCCAACCAAGATTTTTTTTTGTACGTGTAGCCTGTAAGCTTAGCTAAATTATTGTTAAACAAGTGAAAGGAAAAACGAATTTCAACACACGTTTAGGGAACACCCAGGATGAGATGAAAATTGTTGAACAATTTTACTGATTTTATCCACTACCCCTTCCCTTTCCATCCATCAACACAACCACATGTTTCAACTTTTGGTTCGACTACTGGCGATACCCAGACCGATAGTGTGACAAGAGCGGCCATAAAATGAAATACTTGTGCAAACACAGACGCTGGAATGTCTTTTTTCTCTCTCTCCATTATCATACACATGTGCGCTTTCATCGTTCGTTATCAACGCCTACCTAGTTTAAGTCAACAGAAAAAAAAGTGTATAGAAGAATCCTTTATTTACATATAGGCATCTAGGAAGGCCGCGCAGACATAGGGACTGACACTAGGTGAAAGGGGGAAAGCAGTGTGAGCAAAGAGCGGGCGTCTTACCCCTGCGCCTGCTACGATCGATTTCTTTTTGTGATGTGATATCGAAAAATGAGAGTTTAATATCGCTTGAACAAGTCAGTCAAAGGAAGAGACCAGATACTAACATACAAGATAAAGCGCCTGTAGGTGTTGACATTCGTGGTTGGTTGTTTTCGGTTTATTTGCCATATCGCTTTCGGTCAACGGTACTACTACAGTATGTAGGGATACTTTTGGGTGGATACAGTGGTGGTCACGTGGTTGGGACAGGTTTGGGACTATCACGGGAAATGATTGAAATACTTCGGAAAGGTAACTGAGGGGCTGTTCATAAGCCACGTAGGGTTTGGTGACGTTTAGCGAGTGTCCATGCAAATTTCCAAAAATTGGTATGCATGATTGCCTACGTTGAGAAATACCCTGCATAGTTTGTGGACAACCCCTAAAAGCATTCAAAATGAGACTATATGTATGTGAATGATGGAATTCAATGACTTTCGCCAAAACCTTCTCGGTTAGGAACCCATGTTCGGTTTAAATACTAACTTCCCTTCGATCGAGGATGAACGATGGCCCTTAATATGAGTGTCACTTCACGGTTTAAGCACGGTTTACCGTGTAAATCAAATGGGAATCAATTCACCGATAAGTTCGACATCGGTAATAAGGGTCGATGATCCAACCATTTTCACAATAGACAGCGCATTGTGGGCTATGCAATAGTTCTAATCGATACACTTCTTTAACTCCCTTCTCCGGACATCATCTAGAATGTGTGACCAATCAATTGTAAACTGCTATTTTATTCACATTTACCGTCACAGAACTATACGATTTTAGTTCATGGGTTTGGAACAGCTCTACTATGGTTATTTGGATGTGCGCTGATTGTCCGTGAATTGATCCTCTTTAGTCGCAACGGAACTCAAATTATCTTCCAAGGATCTGGAATTGTTCTGCATAGTCTACAAAACGCATATAATAAGCTCGTACTCGCATCCACCAGAGAATTCTGCTTTGACCAGTACGACACTGAATACAATCTGCTGCCAACCAACCAAAACGGCTTAAATTCATTACAAAGCTCCAAGGACTAGCTTATGGCTGAAAAATACAACACTGTCTATTATTCTACGTCAAATAATTGAATTTCAAGAATGACACAGTTTTAAATAATACTCAAGGATTTATGTCACATATCAAAAATTTGACTATACCTGATTTAAAATAAAGTTCAAAGCCTCTGACTAACTGATTTTGATTTTTTAAATACTTGGATCAGACTGATTTCCCAACAAAAAATTAAAGCTGAATGACAGTTTTTGAAAGTGAATTAAGATGCATATTGGCTAATTCAGCTGTAGGTTGGTTGCGTTTTCTCCTACGTCCTGAAAATTTTACAGTACTCTAGAATGTGGATGGCATCCATTTTATATTAACCGAAAATTTAATTAACGTGGCCATTCGAGTCAGAGATGGCGGCCATCGGGCTCAAGAAAAGACACAAATACCCTATAACATGAGTATTTTCGGAACGGAAACGACGCGAAGGTCTCGAAAAGCGATATCCGACGCCATTTTGGAATGCAATTAGGCGGCTATTGACACTTCATCTGAAATCGGAAGCCACCATCTTAAGCATGGCGTCGGACATCGATGTCCGGCCTCGATTCCAAAAATATCCACATAGAACGGTATTCGACAGTATTTCACACAGAATCTCTTTAATTTAGATAAGATAAGGTAAGATGAGATAAGTATTTCACACTTTTTTTTTTTAACCAAAGCCGTCAAACCTCGGTTTCTGGAATTTTTAAAATACCCACAGTATTTCCCACTTTTCTGAAGCCACAAGTCGTCATCTTGGATTTCAAGATGGCGACTTACATCGATTTCTGGCATCTACGTGTCATCCCCGTTTTTTAAATACTCATATTTTAGGGTATTTGGAACTTTTCCTCAAATCGAAGCCACCGTCTTGAATGTCAAAATGGCGTCGGATATCAATTTTCATTCTCTAGACATCATCCCGATCCCAAAAATACCCATATTGATGGGTCGGCATCAGTATTTCTCACTGTTTCTTATCTCGAAAGCCGCCATTTTGGATTTCAAAATGTCGTCCAATATCGATGTCTGGCCTCTAACACCTTAAATAAGTATTGATAATATATTGATGGACATTTGAAAGTATTTCCCACTTTTTATGAAATTGGAAGCCACCATCTTGGATTTAAAAATGGTGTCGGTCATCGATTTCCGGCCTCTAGACGTCATTCTGATTACAAAAATACCTGTATTGATGGGTTTTTGGCAGACTTGATGGAGCCTCACTCGCGAGTGAGGTAGCATTTTTCTGAGTAGTAGAATGCCTACTGCCAAATCATTCCATTGAGCTTCAGAGCTTGTGAGCGAAGCGGAATAAAATGAGAGTAAGGTTTCCTGCATTCATGTTCATTTTCTCTATCACATGCTCTTACTCTCACTCTGGGTGAACTCTGAGCTTCTTGCGTCGAACAAAAAAGTCATCCGGAATCAATCATCCTTTCGCTGAAGTTCACTCTCCCTCTCTCTGGAGGAGTTTTTGTTTACTTCTTCCATATTCCTGCCACAACTCGCTCGAGGTGAGGGCTGGCTAAGCTCGCAGGGCAAGAGTGTTTTAAAACCTCCAGTGAATTTGAGGAGTTTCAGCAAGCCAGGTTTTTGGCAGCATTTCCCACTTTTTCTGAAATCGGAAGCCACCATCTTGGATTTCAAAATGACGACGAATATTGATTTTCATTCTCTAGATGACATATCGATTCCAAAAATATCCAATTCGACCCATCAATCAGTATTTCCCACTTTTGACTCTAGGCGTCACCCTGATTAAAAAATACACACATTGATGGGTGTCTGTGTGTGGTTATGTGGATCTCTAGACGACATCCCGATTCCAAAAATACCCATATTGATGGATATTTGACAGTATTTCCCGTTTTTTTTTAAATTGGAAGCCGCCATATTGGATTTGAAAATGGAGTCGGTCATCGATTTCCGACCTCTAAACGATATCCCAATTCCAAAAATAACAATATTGAGAGATTTCAAAATTTTGTCGGACATTGATTTCCTGTCTCCAGACGACATGCCACCCAACTAACAATTTTAGCTGCAACTCAGCTTATACAGGCAAAAATTAGCTGCATAAGGCAAATTTTGGCAGTATAAGCTAATCTGCAGCTAAAATTGTTTGTTGGGCGATCCCAAAAATACCTATATTGATAGGTGTTTGATAGTATTTCCACCATCTTGGATTTCCAAATGGCGTCATACATTAATTACTGGCGTCTAGACGTCACCTCAATTAAAAAGTAAAAAAGTAATGGGTATTTGACAGTATTTTTCACTTTTCTGAAATCGGAAGCCGCCATCTCAGATTTTAAAATGGCTTCGAATAACGATTTTCTGTCTCTAGCCGTCATCCCGATTAAAAAAAAATACCTATATTAATGGGTATTTGACAGTATTTCCCATATTTTTTTTTAAACTAGGCGCTATCATATATGATTTTAAAATGGCGTCGCATATCGATTTTCGATCCTTAGACGTCACCCCGATTCAAAAAAATACCCGTATTGATGGGTTGGCATCAGTATTTCCCACTTTTTCTTAGATCGGAAGCCGCCATTTTGAATTGCAAAATGTCGTCGAATATCAATTTCTGGCCTCTAGACGACACCCCGATTAAAAAAATACACACATTGATGGGTGTCTGTGTGTGGATCTCTAGACGACATCCCGATTCTATAATTACCCATATTGATGGGTATTTGACAGTATTTCCCACATTTTCTTGAAACGGAAACCACCATCTTGGATTTCAAAATAACGTCGCATATCTATTTCCAATCTCTAGACGTCACCCAGATTCCAAAATTACCCATATTGATAGCTAAACAAACCACCCAGCAATGATAAATTTGACATCAACGTGCTCAGTACTATGTGCATGCGCTCAAATGAATTGAGTAAACAATCAACAAAAGTCAGAAAAACTGCGCGAATTTGGATAGCTCCGCTTCAATGCGAAAGTAAGTTCATTCGACAATGTAAGGCGAAGTCAAGCCAAAACAATCATCATGAAAACTGATTGATGCTGAAGGGAATCTGCCCGAAAGAATGAATTTCAATTGAAAGTGATGGTTGATAGCTTCGTCGTCGCTTGACGATTTTCGATTGGGCCCCGATTGTGTTAGTTTTGAATCATCAAAGCTTCTTATGATTCACAATCTTGAAAATTTCTCAATGTGCAGAATATTGGCCTGAACATTCACTTTTTATTTTGAAATGAAAACTCTCCTAATCTTGAAGTTTTTCTTAATCCAAAATTTAAAAAAAAAAAAACTTTCTAAGAATAAGGGACCGTATGCGTGATAATGTTTGCACCATTGAGCAATGTCAAAATTAAAAAATTCTCAAAAATTTCGTTTTGATTTTTTTTATTTATTCAAAGGGGGGATGTTTCTCAGAGTCTTAAACTATGTTAATCATCGATCGAGTTTCCACTGGCTGCAATTACGGCTTCCACACGCTTCCGGAATGCACGGCAGGTTCTAATATTGTAGTCTGGATCCATTTCTCTCCAGGTACGGGTCAATGTTTGTCTGAGGCTTGCTGTACTCGGGTGGCGTTTATAACAGGCCTTGGCCTTCATGACGCGCCATATTGAGTAATCCAGCGGATTAAGATCGGGGCTGGATGGCGGCCACATATCCTTCGTCCAGAACGGAAGATGTTCCTATAACCACTTCTGAGTGCGGTTCGAGGTGTGGCACGGAGCCCCATCTTGTTGAAATACAACATTTGGCTTCGGACCGTACTGTTCTGTGATCCACGGACATACTTACTTAAAATCCCGATGTAGACCTCCGTGTTGACCTTGTCGCCCTTCTGGAATGAACACCGGGTCCACTTTTTTGGCCATCAGAAGCCACCAATCCAAACACCATAACGCTAGCAGGATGCTTGGTCAGATACACGTTCTTGTGCTCGTCGGCCACGTCTTTTACCAGAAGAGAACTAATATACATGCTCTCGTCGGTGAACAGGATTACCGGATTTTTTTCGCTTAAGGAAGTTCAAGATTTTCTTGCTTCGTTCGACTCGTAGCTCCCCGCCCCGCAATCTTCCTTTACGATCTTCCGTGCCGTAAAGTCAATGATCCCATGTTCCTTTGCCATTTTCCTTATTGAACGCACTGGATTCACCCGAATCTTCCTTTTGAGATCAGCGATCACCCTCGGAACCCGAGCTAACCTCGGACGACCTGTGGCCACCTTCGCGGATAGTTGTCCTTTCCTTTCTCGGTCTAAAACCCTTTTGACGGTCCACCGGGATACTCCCACGGTGATTGAAATATCTTTTTGCGACATTTGCGCGTGGGACAAATCACGAATACGCTGCCACTTCGTCATGGTGCAACTGTCAAACTAAGTAAATCATTTTCTTTTATACACAGCCTACTACGGTATGAGCTATAGGTTACGTGCATGCAAAGAAAACCAAGGCATTGTATGCACAGGTGAAACGGGAACCTTATTTGTACGATGGTGCAAACATTATCACGCATACGGTAAATAAGGAGAACTACAAAAAAAACTAAGGATTGCTTCCAATGT